TTGCTAGAGAGAGAGAGAGAGAGAGAGAGAGAGAGAGAGAGAGAGAGAGAGGGAGAGAGAGATCAACGAGAGAGAGATCACCGAGACAGAAATCACCGAGAGAGAGATCACCAAGACAGAAATCACCGAGAGAGAGAGAGAGAGAGAGAGAGAGAGATCAACGAGAGAGAGAGAGAGAGAGAGAGAGAGATCAACGAGAGAGAGAGAGAGAGAGAGAGAGAGAGATCAACGAGAGAGAGAGAGCCGTGTCCAGGGCGATGCCTAGCGGAAGCAGTCGGCGCAGCTATTTCCGGGGCTGCTCGAGAGCGGCGGAAGACTCTCGCGAAACTTTCGAGAGACTCGGGGATCGATGGAACGCCTATAGATCTGTCGAACGGGGTCCGGTTTCGTATCGGTTTCAGCTCCGGGGAGATAGAGAGAGAGAGAGAGAGAGGATAATTTGTATCGCGGGCATAAAGGCGACGGTCTCGTTCGTAGTCCGGTGAAACGGGCACAATGAAGAAGATAAATACGCGGGATGAACGTGAATAAAATGCATCAAACAATAGGTTCCGTTCAGCCATGAATAATGCATGCTACAAACTTGAGGCGAATGGAAAAAGAGCGGAGGCTCGAATGCGGCGGAGAACGCGGCGCAACGGTAATTGATTCGTTACGACCCCGTAAACGTTCGATGAATGAAAGCTAATATCTCCGCGCGAAACAAGGCCAGCCGGAAGCTTATCTGCGAGCGGAGCGCGTTTCTCGCGGCGAGCAGAGAGGATGGAACGAACAGCCGTGAGACGCCGCGCGTCGCGCCGCGCCGCACCGCACCGCACCGCACCGCACCGCACCGTTTCCGTCGGCGTTCTACGAGCGTGGACCGTACGTTAGAGCATGCGGATCACGGATGCGATCATCGGCGAGCCGCGCTCGTGACGCGCACCTCGTTCGTTTTCGAGGGTGTTTGAGAACGAACTCGAACGGCGCTTCGCCGTTCGACCGGAGTGCCCGATGGTAATCTCGGCTCGGTGTCGTTCGATCGTTCCGCAAACGCCAGAATTTCGATCGGCGGAGGAGGCAACAAAAAAAAAAAGGAGAAAAAAGAAAAAAACGGGAGCACCGAGCGCGGCCGGCCCGATGAAAATGCCGGTCGACTGCAGGAAACTTAATTTTCGTTCGGCACGGAATCTCTTTTTCGGCGGAAAAAGCTCCCGGCATGCGCGCAATATTTTTCGTTTTCACGCATTCGGAATTCCGCGGTCGCGTTTCGACCCCGATCCAGCTTTATTTCGCGACAACGAGCACGTAACCGCGCTGGTCGAGAACACCCCAACCGACCCCCCGCACCCTGTTTTCCCCGCGAAACCCCCCCGAATTCGGGTCATCGAGGGCGACGAAGGGCTTCCCCGGCGAAATCTGACGCCGATTCGTTACCATTTATGGGGCAGAACCGCCGCGGACTCTGCGACCGAGTCGCCACGAACGTGGTCAAAACGATCTAAAACACAGCTGCGTATCACCTGGACACGACGCGGAGATGTTATTTCTACAGGGTATCCCAAGAATGTCTCGCAATCCGAAAATAGAGGATTCCTGAGGTAATTCGAAGCAACTTTTTCCTCGGCGAAAATGCATTACGTCGGTTTGTTGACGAGTTATTTAGGAAAAACGCTGACCAATGAGAGGCGAGCTCGGCTGGCGCGAGGCGGCCCAGCCAACGAGCGCACGAACCTCGGTTCCGCCGTCTGGTTCGGTCTTCTCGCGCCATTGGTCACTGTTTTTCGTTAATAACTCGAAAACGAAGCCGCGGATTGCATTTTCGCTAAGGAAAAAGTTACTTCAAATGACCTCGTGAACCCCTCAGTTCCCAGAAATACAATAATTTTGAAACCCCCTTGTATATCGTCTCGCGCCAACTGACCTCGCCTCTCATTGGTCACTATCTTTTGTTAATAATTCTTAAACGAAGCCGCGGATTGCATTTTCGTTAAGGAAAAGGTTACTTCAATTTACCCCGAGAACCTCCCATTTCCGGTTTGCGAGACATTCTTGGGACACTCTGTATATCCTTGTTCGTTTCTTGCTGCTGTAGTCAGCGTACTTATATTTTACGATCGACACCGGCGTGGAACAATCGACGGGAACTCGTCGAACATGATATCTAACGGGTTAAGAGGCTGCGCGTTGTCCGAACGTCACAAATGATGCGCGACTATTTCTTGCCATCGTCACCGTTCGTGTATCTCATCATCGACACTTTATATATATATATCAGTACGCGCCAATGGAAGGAATCCCTCTGAACACGAACGAACGTGCAACCCAAACAGCTGAACATCACGTGTGCACACCATGCATTTGTCAAGACCACTTCCGACTCTTGCTATCACATACTTCGAATTCTTTACGCTTTGCCGTCGATACCGCCGCAGATCGTGGGAATTTTTCCACGACCAGACCGCGGATTTGACGCAATTTCACGACGAAAATTACTGCAGATCGTACGCAAAACATTAGAGAAAGCGTTCAACGCAACAATTTACGGTGCACTGGAACCAGCTGTTTTCTATTAGTTTGTAAAAATAGCAAGAACAGGTTTGCTCTGATTTTGAACGACCGTTGTTGCAACGTTTGTCGCGAGTAACCCGTGTACTGGACAAATAACTCGCGAATGTAATGCATTTGCAATCGGAATAATCGTAAATTGAAGAAGAAGTGGACTCGTTATTCCGACGGTATCCGAGAAACCGGTGTTAAAGGATTTATTCTTTTGCACTCGAGAGAGAGAGAGAAGCAACTTTAATACAAGATTTACGGAACCCGTCGAAATGACGGGTCACTAATTTTCTAATTTACGATTATTTATACGGTGAAGGTACATTTATGAATTATTCATTCGATTTATATGTTACTTAAGGTAAATGTTACGATAATACTTGCTAAAAATCAGAATAAACGTCTTGTTGTTACTTTCATAAACTAACATAAAACAGCTGTTTTTTGTGCCCCGCAAGTCTAGTGTTAACTAAAACAGTTTCTCTGTCCTATAGTATTTCCATTTCGCATAACTCACTGCATTTTATGCATCCGACACTAAATTTTGCGACACAAGCAACAGTCACGCTCCGTAATATTGTTTCAAACGCAAACAAATTCGACGACGTTAAAATGATCTCGAAACGTGATACAACAATTTTTTATGCCAATTCGAGCGCAAAGGGTTAAAACTGCCGGCGCGTTACGTTCGCAGCTCGTCGAAACGATTCAAAAATAGGAATATGTACCCGCCCGCGGAGCCTTTTCCGTACAAAACTGCCGCGGACAATTTCGATTCCGAATCGGAAATCCGATGCCGGACGATTATACCCGCGGAATCCCGCGTCCCGATCGCGCCGTTGCCTGTAATTGCAATCGTACGCGACGAACCCGATGTTTATCGATGCTACACGGTTGTTTCGCTACGCTCCAATCTGTTTGGCTACGTCCCCCACGGCCGACGGACAAGCATATCGGTCCGACGCCCGAACGTATCTATATCAAACAAGCTCGGGTCGCATCCCTAATCGCGGCTGACGGAGGTCTAATCGAAAAATGGACGTTCCGTGTAGATCGTAGGGGACGTTAACGGGGTGACTGCGTGAACGGTAGATAGGCCGGGAACGGGCACAGCCGGGACGGTGGTAGATTGCGAGTAAAACCGGCTGCGAGGAGGAAAGAGTCGAAGAAGGGCGCGGAGGGCGAGACAGAGAGAGAACGATGGTACTAGAGAGGGAGCCAGAAGAAGAAGAAGAAGAAGACGAAGAAGAGGAAGAAACCGCCTGGATGTGTTGAAATAGAAGGTTGTAACGTGCCAGGAGTCTGATGGATCGAGGATCCGAGTGGAAGAGAGAGAGAGCGAGAGACGGGGGGACGCGAGAAGGAGGGGTTGCACGGTGGAACGTAGGAGGAAGCAAGACGCGGGGGACGACAAAGAGGACTTCCCTGATCCCCATGCTCTCGTCACCGAGAATGTCAGCCATCTGGCATTGTACGGTGGCTCGACTGCGACGGTGTGCCATGTCCGAGAGCGTGTACAACTCGGTGGCGCCTACCCCACGAGGTCCCCGATAGAAGCGGAATGGAACGGAACGGAACGAAAGCAAACAAAACCGTTCTCTCGGACGGCTAACTACCAACCAAGATAGCCGGCGAGCGGAATCTACGAGCGGAATCGCGGCTTTTCGACGGCGCGCGTGGTTTCTCACGACGGCGGCTCGCATCGATTCCTCGAACTGTTCGAGCGCACAGCCGGCGTCGGAGCGTCCGGAGCCTTGAAACGCTCCAAAAACGGAATGGAATATATCCACGGATTAAGAACGAAAGTGGTGGCGTCGATTACTCTCCCACCTCGCTCTCTCGCGCGCGGTATCAGTCGCTCTCTATCTCTATCCCTCTCTCTCTCTCTCTTTCTCTCTCTTTTACACACACTCACACACCCTGGACCGTCTTTCTCACGCGCTTTCTCTCTCCCTCTGTCCCTTGCTCTCCGTCGCTGTTTCTCGGTCTCCCAGCGATCTCTTGAATGAACCGAGTCTCTCAACCATGGCACAGATACGACGCACTTAGTCAGCGTGCCGCACGTGCCTGTTGTGCATACGTAATGCGTATTGACACGTCGAGTGACAGCACGCGGGCCGAGTCACGCTGCGAGCAGCTCGTCGAAATCGATAGACCGAGGAACGTCGCGTCACGGTCCAACGCCGTGGACGACCGGCGATTTCGGTGAGCCGATAAGATCGGCCGGGAGGAACGACGGAGAGACGGGAGGCCTATTATCTCGTCCCCGAAATCGTTCGGTTACACGAAGAAGGCCGCCGCCGACGCCGCCAACACGAGTACGTGCATACTTCGTGTCGCCGGATTACCGTAACAGCGGCTACGGTCGCGGCCGCGTAAGCTCTCTCGCGTACGCGACGAGAGAAAGGGAGGAGGATCGGATCGAGATCGCGAAATTACCAAAGGAGATTGTGCAGACTCACCGGCAATGGCGACGAACAGAAGGAATATCCACGTATCCATGAGTAAGCTGGCGAGGCGTAGCTGGAAGCTGGTGGCTGCGATCGCGAGCTTGTCCATCACGCTTCAGGATGCAGCATCGTCGGTGCTCGTGGATCCTGCTGCGGCAGCTTCTCTCTGAACTCTTGCGTGCTCTCTCTCTCTTTCTCTCTGTGTGTCTCGGTCTGTCTTCAGATTGCACCGAATTCACTGTCCTTGTCACTGAATCCGTCGAGGAGGCCGGAAAAGTCCGTGACTGACCGGGGCCTGAGTCGCGTGTCGCGTCTGCTCTGGTCTCACCGCCGCGGAACGTGTCCTGACACTGTCCTTCGGTTCCGTACGGTCTCCTGCGGTTCCCCGCGGTGTCCTGCGGTGCCCTGGCGGTCCCCTACGGTTCTCCCACGGAGCAGGCTCGCATCATTCGAGCGTATTCGCGACGTTCCGGTCGAACAGCAGCCGCAACAGTGGTTCTTGTCACGGTGATGCGACGAGATCGCGTTCACGAGTCGCGATTCCTTCGCGCGATGCGCGCGGCCCCTTGGATTGAATCGCGCCGCGTGCGCCTCTACGCGTGTCCGCCGATGCGCTGGTCCGCGCGCGTACGTATCACCCGCTCGGCCCGAGAGCTCTGGCCCGCGCCGATTTCTGGTCGGAGCGGTCTCTTTCTTTTTTCTCTTTCTCTCTCTCTCTCTCTCTCTCTCTCTCTCTCTCTCTC